AGAATATGTACATTATTAAAATCTGAAAACAATAAAGAGTCCCAAGAGTTGGAAACCGTGTAATTAATATTTAATTAAACATATAAATTATCGATCTACATATCATAACTGATATGTTTAATTTTATAATACCATATAAGTTGGATTTGTTTCGAACCACTACATCTTATGATAACTGATATGTAGAGATTTCATAATTTAAAAAAAAAAAACGCCAAAAACTTAAAAAAAGAATCCCAAAACTTGGAAACAATGTAATTTTAAATTTAATTAAACATAAAAAACGGTTATAAAAATCATAGTTGATTACAAAATATGTTTAATTTTAGAATTCCATATAAATTGGATTTGTTTACAACAAACAGAGGTTATGTGAAATTATAACTCTAATTTTGTTTAGATATCTCGAATATAAAACCCTTTAAAAGAGTCCCAACAGATGGAAACAATAAAATTTTTAATTTTTTTAAACATAAAAAATAGAGCTAATTAAAAAAATATATAATTTTATATTTTCCTTAAAATTGAGATTCTTTACAGGAAAACAAAATCGTGTTACTAACTTATATGTTAGGTAATTAGAAATAAAAATGTATCCATAAAAACACGTGCTTAAAAAATTGTAATTATTAAAAAAATAGTTTTATGTCATGTCAAAAAGTATTAATACACGTGTTATAAAAAAAAGTCAAATATCAAATATAATTGTATTCATACATTTTCCGAATAAAATTTTATGCAATATTATGTAAAAAAACAAATTAAGTGAATAGTAATCATTAAAGTGAATAGTAATCATTATAAGAAATTGAGCCGCATTTTTTGGGAATGTTTACCTAATTAATTACGAAAAATCTCCCGCATTTTGTGGGCATTTAATAGCTGAACGTGAAAAAATGAAAAGGGAAAAGAAGTTGCCATTAATAGTAAATAATTAATGAAGAAAGATATTTAACCAAAAACTGACCTGCCATTTTTTAAAAATGGTAAATCTTTTTATATATATATAGATTTTACGTACTTTTTTTTTACTTATCGGATGTTATGAGATTTTTTTTCTTAAATCGATTTTATGGGATATATAATAAAATAATTAAATAAAATTATGGATAGAAATAACAATGCATTAATTACGTTGAGTTTTCAACTTACTAAATTTGGTAAATAAGATACATTATTATATAAGTATAGATGATAGATCTCTCAATATTAGTTTATTTTATTTTTTAAAAATGACACTAATTTGAACGGATGGAGTATTCATGAAAAGTCACAATGACTTAATTTCAATGCAAACATACAAAATAAATGCACCATAAAATAAATAAATGTAAATAGGGAGGTGGAATTGAAATCATTGCAATCATTGCAGGCGTGAAGAAAATTAGTAAGGGGCAAAGTCTGTTATTAAATGATAATCAAACTTTGATATTTTTGTTCTTCTATAGCAATGTAACTCTATTTTATTCAATATATTGATTGATTGATTTCACATAATAAAAAGATCAAATATCAATTATAAATTGTCAAATTTATGTCATATATTGATTGATATATTTCTATATATAGTAAATAAGTTTTTTTAGCCGGAAACAATTACTATTATTTTAAAAATAATCAAACCTTTTTATATAGACTAGTAAGGGACACGTGCGATGCACGTGGTGAAAATATTTTTTTGCTAGTTTAGTGCACGAAGACATTTTCGTTTCATGGTACTATATTTTCTTAAACTCACTCTTAATAGAAAGCATGAAGGGGTCGGGATAAATTATTATGTTCTAAGGTAAAATAGATAGTAGATGAAATTTTTTAAAACTGTAAAGTAAATGAACTATAGCAAGAAAAGTAACCAAAAATTGCTCTTAAACTAAACATTAACTAAAGTAACTAAAGAATGTTCTTAAATTTAAATGATGGAAAGAAGTAACTATGATCTTCAACTCTTCTCTTTCTTTATGTTGATGATCGGAGTGGATGATTTCTTTTCCTTTGCTTTTGAATTGTTGCGCAAAAATTTCTTTTTAAGTCTGTTGATTTCAATATCCTCAATTTCAATGACACTATCATTGTCGTCTTCCTTGATCTTGTTGGCGACGCGTTTTCTTCTTTGAACTTGCTTTTTTTTTTGTGGTTCCCCTTGATTCTTTTGCAGATCAGTTGCCTTTTTTGGAGATTTTGATGAACTTTTCGTTCATTTCATCATCATTGATAGGTTGTAATCTTGCAATTGCTTCGGCAACCACGTTCTTTCCTCTTGATTTGTAGGACTTATGATCTATTTGGATGAGAAATTGAAATTGGGTGGTTGATTGCAAGCTCAATCCTCGATAGTCCAGATGATTCTTCTCCCTAATAAATTGGGAACAAATTTTGAGATAAAAATGTTGTATTTAAAGATGAATTTGAGTAATAAGTTTGAGTATTTGAAGATAAATTTGAGTTATAAATTGAAAAATTTAATTACCTACTCAATGGATCTAATGTAGTCTGCAGCAGAACACTCCACGTAAACCATTGCAACATCTTCAAAAAGTGTGATAGTGACACTGAGGTCCTCTTCAACAACATTTAGTACCAACCTATATCTACAAATAGTAAAATTATTTTAATTGTGCTCTGTCTTTAAAATATAAGATATAAATTTTTTGTTTTTTGTTTAAAAGTAGGAGGTAATATTATTGTTATGTAAAGTGTGATGGTTTTTTTATCGTATCAAGAATTTAGAGGATACCATATACGCATATGGTTGTTTTCCTCACACGCCGTGTTTATCTGAAGTACAAATGTTGTACTGGTTTGCAATTGCAATTGGCCTAATCAATTAAATGTGAACATTATAATCGCAAAGTTATATGCACAATTATCTACAAACATAATTAAGGGATTATAAAAATTAAAGTATGAGTGTAATTAACATTGTTTGATTGTAAATAAATAACCGCAACAATATGTATGATTATAAATAAATACTTCCACTAATATGTATGATTGTAATTAAAAAGAACATTGTTTTTATGTCAATAAGATTATAAATCATATAGCTGTAACTAATTGAGCAATATGTATAATAATTGTGTGTAAAAATAAAAAGTACTATTTATGTAATTGGTTTAATGTTACTGTTGTAGATCTTTGGTTTTAGCAAATTGCTAATTGCAACAAATAGGTTCTCTTCAACCATGTCGTGTACGGTGGATCCTTCATTTTGAGCCATGTCCTCCTATAAAAAGACAAGAATGGATCGATACCTACAAATACAATCAATTTAGAACGTTGTTACCATTATTAATATTGTGTAAATTATCAATATTGTATGTTTGAAGCATATTTATGGAACTTTTTTTTTTATTATTATATACGTGTATTTATCAATATCAGCATTAAACATCATTACTCCAATTTGGACTCCCTGCACAAATAAATAAAATAAATCGTTAATGATATGCAAAGATGGTCACAATAATGTTTAATGCTTAATGAATAAAATAAATAAATCGTATCATTAAAAATTATTACTGTAATTTGATATGTATATTAAATCTGCAAGTTAAATTAAGTTGTGTATAATTTAGTGACTCTGCTTAGTGATTTTTTCATAGTAAATCGCAAATCTGTAAACTCATATTAACTGTAATATTATATTCAGCATGACGGTAGGAATCACGCGGCACAAGTAAGGTTAATATTATATTAATCCCGCCCATTTTTTTGTTATATAAAATTTCGCAGTCGCTTTGTAAAGAATTTGGGGACACATAATTCTGTTCAGGACTGTACTATTAATTTTAGGACTGTATTATTAATATTTAATTGCAAAAATTAATTTGACAAAATAAGGTTAATTTAGGAAAAATATATTTTTACAGATTCATTGACTCTTTTATAATAGTATAGATTAATAATATGAGAGATAGTTGAGTTTAGTTAAAGTTGAGTTAAATTTAAATTTTGATTGATTTTTTTACTGTTCAAACAATAAACAATCGCCCCTTAATATTTTTCGTGATTTCAAATTTAAATTTTAACCGAAACGGTTTCTGTCTCTCATTCAAATTTGTTAATGAGTTATAAATTTCTTTACAAGAAATTAACGTTTATAAATTTATAAATTTTTCTCTCACGATAAAAATTAACGAGTTTAAATCATGTTCAACAAATGAACTTCATTTTTATTTTATCGTTTAGAGATTCACGATAAAAATCGATATATGTTACTTTTTTTTTTGGTAGCCAGCTTCGGTATCCAGAGTTATACCCCGACTAATCTGTTGGTCGACCCGGCGGGTCGCACACCTGGCAGTGGTGGGTGAGTCTCCCAACAAGGATTTTCTGTATCCACAAGAACTCGAACTCGAGACTTTACTTAAGCGACACCAAGCTGCTAACACATTTGTTTTGTCTTTCAGATATTCACGATAACAAATAAATATATGTTTCCTTATATTGTCACACATATGATGAACTTGGTTTTCA